GAGAGAGAGAGAGAGAGAGAACATGTGAACACAGGGGAGAGGCAGAGAGAGAGAGAGGAAGAGAGAGAAAATCTTTTTTTAAAATTTTTTTTTGTTTTGTTTATTTATTTTTGACAGAGACAGAGACAGAATGCGAGTGGGTTAGGGGCAGAGAGAGAGGGAGACACAGAAGCAGAAGCAGGCTCCAGGCTCTTAGCTGTCAGTACAGAGCCTGACGCAGGGCTTGAACTCACGAGCTGTGAGATCATGACCTGAGCCGAAGTCGGACGCTCAACTGACTGAGTCACCCAGGCGCCCCAAATCTTTTTTTTTAATGTTTATTTATTTTTGAGACAGAGAGAGACAGGACATGAGCGGAGGAGGGGGAGAGAGAGAGGGAGACTCAAAATCTGAAGCAGGCTCCAGGCTCTGAGCTGTCGGCACAGAACCTGATGCGGGGCTTGAACTGACGAGCTGTGAGATCATGACCTGAGTCGAAGTTGGACGCTCAACCAACTGAACCATCCAGGCGCCCTGAGAGAGAAAATCTGAAGCAGGCTTCATATTCAGCATGGAGCCCAATGCAGGGCTTGATCTTATGACCATGAGATCATGACCTGAGTCAAAACCAAGAGGCAGACACTTAACAGACTAAGCCACCCAGGCACCCCTGATTCCAAAAATATTTTACTATCTTTCTCAGGTTCTGATATACCTCAGGTTGAAGTGTCTCTTGCATATTTCAAGACTCTTCAGAATAGATACAGGAATTCTAGAGTTCAACCAACCAATATAGGGAGAGGAAGAGCCTATGGAGAGCAAAGAAGACAAAAAGATTTGCATGCTGATTATTTAATTTGTTTTTCTAAAAGTACTCCTTTGGGATTATATGTAAGAAAAGGAGGATACATAAACTGTGTAACTGAAACCTCATTCTTGGAAGTATACTGAGAAGGATTAGAAGGAAGAAAAAGGTCCATACATACAATAATAATAGCTCCATTGGCTGTAGTTTTCTTAGGGGGGAAAAAAAGTAGGGGCACCTGGGTGGCACAGTCAGTCAAATGTCCAGCTCTTGTTTTGGCTCGGGTCATGATCTCAGGATTTGTGAAATTGAGCCCCACTCTGTGCTAACAGTGTGGAGCCTGCTTGGGACTCTCGCTCTCCCTCTCTCTCTCTGTCCCTCCCCCCCCAATAAATAAATAAACATTTTTTTAAAAAGTGGTTTTGGGGTGCCTGGGTGGCTCCGTCGGTTAAGCGTCCGACTTCGGCTCAGGTCATGATCTCACGGTCCATGAGTTCAAGCCCTGCGTCGGGCTCTGTGCTGACAGCTCGGAGCCTGGAGCCTGTT